AGGGAAACCATCTTCCATGCACCACCATGGCGCGTTCGTCTTCTGAGCCAACAGTTCCAGCCAAAACATAGCCTGAGGTTGCCACCACGACTGGTGTTATTTCTAGGCCCATAGGGATAAATACCTTAGCAAGAAGGGACTCCAGAGCTAAAATGGCCTCACATACGCACTGCATTCCAGCCCTTTCGTGATCCGGCGTCGCACTAAATGCATTCCACACTGCAGTGACCCTGTCAGGTGCTGCATTCAGAACTGTCCCATTATTTCTGTCAATGAGGTCCGTCACCACAGAAAGAAATTCTTGTGAAAAGTATTGAAAATACTGCAGGTCCTCATCCATACACACTGCGAGTCCAGACAAGGAAGCAACCACAACTGTGACCATTCTTGTTTTCAAGCAAAAATCAATGCCACTTTGGAGTTCGGCAATATTGAGGGTTCCACAGGAACACTTGCCTTTCCCATGGTTATTTATGTCCTCCTGCAACGCTGATGAATACGTCCTTGGAATTTCAGTGGGGCGAGACAAACCCTGTTTCCCGTCTGGGGCGACAGGCGAAACAATATTCTGTCTTCTCAGCAGCGAGGAAATCCTCGCTAACATCATCGTTCCCAAGCGGTTAGATGGCCGGTTTCCCACGGTTCTTAAAATGGCCATTTCACCGGCCATCGATTCTCGCACTTCCCCCGCAATCTTCTTGTGAAACACGGCATCGGGAAGCAATTTCCGAAACTGCCGGAGAATCAATGAAACGTTGTTGATGGAATCCTCCGTCTGCTGAAGCTCAAGCACATTGGAATAGCGCTCAAGAAGAAAAGTATGCTTCTCCGTAATAACGTCCACATCACTGTATTTGTTGACATAGAGCGGTACACTCTCCAAGCGTAGTTTGCTAAGGTGATCAAAGGTGCAGTACAGCTGGCCCATTGACCTTTCAAGATCCATCAAGGTGCGCCGAATGTACCACACCGCGGCCAGTGCAAAAATACTGTACATAAGGATAAAAGTAATGGATGCGCCAATAAGCACATTTCGAGCACGGTTTACTGTCCAACTGGTGGCATTCACGCCACATGCCACGGCGGCATGAACGGCATCATCACTGAAAAGTTTGTGGTAGACGTTAACAAATGTGGCAGAGCCCACCAGGCAAATGGCGGAAACAAAACAATAAAATGAAACAGTAATGGTTGAAAAAGCCGTTAAGGAGCAAAAGGCCGAGAGGTCCGGTTCAGGCCTCTCCTTGGGGACGGAGTCTTCATCACTCAACATGCCGTGGTGCGCGGCCATCAAAGATTCTCTCAATGTGTCAAGTTCCCTCCCAAATAATTAAACGTAATTGCGTCTTACCAGTAGCGCAATTCTGTTCTCGTTCTGCTACAAAGTGTTCCCGTCATAACAACAACAACAAAAACGGTAAAAATGAAGAAAAAGAAAAAAAAGTGATAGATTCATGCATTCAGGCATGTTTTAGAAAAAGATAAATAAGAACAATCGACAACAATAATATTTCAGTTGTGTGGTACAAATGTATACGGCAACGTCATGTGCATACCACGGCAAGTAAAAAAAAGCCTTCACCTCTCCGAGAGGACAGAGTCCATAAAAACAAGTTATTAAAGCGCCGGAAACCTGTTTGTACACTGGTGCGCGCACGGCCCACCATGACACGTCTTCTCGCACTTTTGCCCACAACATCTCAATGGCTTTCCGCACTTCTTTCCGCACGAAATAGACTGTCTAAAACAAGGAAAAAAGTACGGCATCACTTTTTTGTGTGATGCACACCTCTTTTCCACAGGCACCACGCAGACGGGACATTTTTCCTCAATGTGGCACGGATGGTTCGCCGGATGGCCACAGGGTCGAGGAATCACACACTCATGGCTGCAACTTGGAGGTTTCGTGCCGCATGGCACTGGAGGCTCAATCCATGACCGTCGACAGCGACAATATAGCCTCTCGTACGATACAATACTACATGGAGAGCAAGCCCCTTTGTGGCAAAGTTGACCGCAAGTGTGAATGCCACAAGACAAACGTTTGGTGCAAATTCGGTAGCATTTGTGATCCTCATTGGAACAGCAGATCTCTTTACATGTATGTTTGCCGCATGACAACTGCTTTCTACAGGGTTTGTTACATTTTGGGGGATAACAAAGTGCCACATTCTTTACAACGTTTGACTTTGCAGCAGCCTCTTGCCATTCCTCTGGAGGTAAGTAGCGGCAAAAAACAAAAATATTCAAT